TTTTTTAATAGTTATCTGTCTCATGGGTATTAAGTATGAATGTTGATTCATGATCGGTATAAATTCAACTCATTAAATCGAATAAAACGAGAATATAAAATTTATTCTGTTTTTACTACAGGAACTTTCAAGATGTTCTACATGTATTTTAATAGAATGTGATAAAACGAGCAAGGTGCGAATTAAGAATCGAGTTTGAATAACAGGATAAAAATCAGCCGTAAATTTATGACGAAGTGAAAATTTTCTTTTTCTTATCACAGGAAATAACTACTAAACAATATTTGTGGAAAAAGTTGTTACTCGATTTTCCGGTGAAACATCACTTCTTGTAGATGATGTTGCAGATGTCGGTCTTTGAACTTTTGGATCATTCGTTTTCGCATGTGGAGTTGAATTCATTATCGATTCAAGCGATTTATTCATCTTTAACATTAAAAATGAAATCTTAATAGCAGCTCGAAACAAATATTAAATAATTCCTACTCGATTTAAACAAATTTCTACTCTTGAATTCTCCTAAATAATCAAAGTAGAGTATATGTTTAAACAAATTGAAATATATTATGAATAGAGATCTATACTTCTGCTAATTCATTTTTAGTTTCCATAAGAACTGATTGAAATGTTGACATTAATTCATATAAATTTTCTAATGTTTTTTGCTGGTTTACACTTGGTTTTTCCATATTCGAGCTATACATGGAATAGTTAAATAAGTAAAATTCCAAAGTCATCAAAGGAAACAGTAAACATACTCAATTGTAGTCATTGCTTTACTCGATTTCTCATGAGTAGTCGTTAAAGATTTTTTTTTTAATATTGAAGAAATGTCATTGTGTGTTGCAGCATTTTCAAAAAGATCCCATGCTTCATTTTGCGAGTCTTCTCTTGGAATCATTTCTAGAACGATTTATAATATATAAGTATACAATTATTTTAATATAATGAAGAAATTTCGAAACCTACTAAAAGTACGCATAAATGTTTTCGGTGCTGGTACGTGATTTAGATCTGCCACTTGTTGTCGATGTAATTTCGAGCAACATTTATGATAAATAGTTAATATAAACAATATGATGTGTGGGATAATAATTAATGGAGGATAAGATAATGGTAAACGTTGAAAGTATTCTCGTATAAACCAATATCGTTGATAACGCCAATAGAAATTTGTATTTTCTTGAACTTTACCAATAGTATTACTAAATTGAAAAATAAAATAATATTTGAGATGAAAATATTTATTTGAAAGTGTACTGAAAGTTAAGGTTAAAGCAGCCGACTTTTATAAGACACAATCTAGAAGAAGTATTGAAGAATAGGAGTAAATAGAATGCATCCTCTTCTCTCATAAATTATGAAAGACTTAATCATAAGAACGTCATCGATCCGAAAAACATTTTGTCGACATTACCATCTCTCCGTGTTCAATATATTATACAAATAGTTGGTATAAAGAGTCAAAGATTACTGATCGATAACGTCTCATGGTTGTATTTGTGAAGGGTTAAGTTATCGCTAGAATAAAAGGTTTCTCAGTGATTAGTGACAGCAACTATATTGTGTTTCTGATTTTAATTGCACAGAAATTCCACTAACAGATTGCTCTTTCAATGAAATTTTAACAAATGACACAACACATAAGTGTGGTTATCAGAAGTAGAGCAACGTTGGATAATAGCTAAGATTTCCATTGACAAGAAAGATCGGTGCCATGATTGAGTCAACTAAACTTTGTCCTGTATAGCTTATCCTGCAGGGTGGAATAAACTGAACAGAAGACAGAACAACATAGTTTGTCTTGATAACATTTTTGACTTGATAAAAAGTCATCGAAACTATTTTATTCAGTGGCAACATGAATCGTTCAAAGCAGTTTTGGTCTGTATAATTCTGCCAATCAGACACTATTTGCATCAGCAACTATGTCTATTTTGATTATTTTCAATCATCGTCATTCGATGAGAACTCTTTTAATTGTAATAAGATTCAAAAACTTTTATCGAATTATGATTAGATTCAGAAAATTAAAAACGAAGAATCGTCATCTACTGCCGTACTGTAATCAAACGTCCTCAATCATTTAGACAATTATGTTCAGTCACTAAGAATCTCTGTTTTCATTGACAGATATCTTTTTTTAACATAAAATATACTATACAACAGTGTCATGCATCCATGCTAAATAAATATGAATAACACTATTTTCCATGAAAATTTCACGTTTAGTCAAGTTTGAGTTTTTTTTTCTAATCAATGAAAAAAGCCGCCACCATCATTTTTTTATGAATTAAAATTTATCAGATCGATGAAATAAATTTTAACAATTTCCGAAATCAGAAAAAAGTCAAAATTTCACTTTGAAACCAGATTATAATTGAATGAAAATAGTACAAGTTTAATTTGTTTAAAAACGGTTTAGAGTTATTTTTATGTATGGATGATATTCTTTTGCAATGGCATAAAATAGGTGTAAGTACAGAAAATACACACGAAGCAAGTTTTTTATTGGGCTATATCAAAATATACCATAGGTGATCACAGTTTATATCATGAATTGTCTAAGCTGACTTTGAAAATGTAATTAAAAAAACTTGAACTAAAAATTTATTGGATAATATAAGTAGATATTACTTTCGTTATAAACATATATAAACCACACACTTTTACTCCTGCAAATATACGAATAGATCTAGTTTTAATGACGCTTCGTTCTAGTCCAGATATAAATATATACATATGGATAGCTAAAAACGAGCCTTGACCTAGAACTAATTATTTGCTGAGGATCGTTTTTATAAAGCTTCATTCATATTTGAATTTGAATTATGGAACTAATCTAAAAATCAGAAATTGCATTATTTAGAATGCTGATAAACTTGTTTCAGCAATTTAACTTTCCATGAATGTTACGAAATGTGCTGGAACATTTTCAGCCTTATTGTTAATATTGTTCAATGTCTTAAACCCTGGTCATTAACGTCGATAATGAAAATAAAGGAGAGACACAAGCGATCGGAGAAAAGAACGAGTATCGATCTTTGCAATTACTGTCATTAATAGTTTGATATTTCCTGTAATTACACTGCTGGTCTTATGCTGTTTATCTCTGTGTGTTTACTCTCTTTTATACAAAAGATTTCTGCAAAAATAGAATGTATGCTAAAGTTTCTAATAGAATTTCATATTTCTTCGAATCACGTTGAAGGTTGACTTTTGTGTTTTTTACTTGAAATTTTACATAAATTATGCTTGCAAGTGATTTGAGTTCCATCTAAAAGGTTTAGTGCATTGTGTTGCTTCTGCTGTGAGCGACTAATAAAATCAGAGAATTTTCTTTTTCACCCAACAGAATTTTAAATATCCGTATCTTACGATAGAAGCAACATAAAAGGATCAAACTTTCACGAAGGATTATTTTTTTTGAAAGTATTACTTGTGCAAATTTTTAGGTCAACAACCTAATAGTCAACTGTGCATGTGATCTGAAAGAGAATATAGAATCTTGTTGAAAAATCCAGTGAAAACTCACTATTATAAGAAAGACAGCCTGATAAATCAAATCATTCTAGGCATTTAACATTTACCGTTCACTCATCGAATAAAATTTGTTTCGATCGAGAACCTATTTAACACTTTGAGAGGTTCCCTCGTAATACGTCAGTGTTTTCCGATGGAAACTTCAAAGCTATAATCTATCCATGGATTGCGTTTAGAACCAAACAGTCGATTTAGTAGCTGAAAAATAAATGGATGCGATATTGTATCGTTTATAGTAAACCCCATCGATCTGAGACATGATGAATTATTATAGAAATAATTCTGAATGGGTCTGCATCGAAGCTGATATTTAGAATACCATAACTCATGAATGATTTAGGTGCCCGTCGTCACGTACTCGTCGAAGGTAAATGATAATATGCCCTATTGATTATTAAATAAAAATATGAATGGTAGTCTTGGCATGATTTCACATGCGTAATATATTATTTACTAGTAATCATGTCTTGTCATTGCGTAATGTGATTGTCTCAACTTATCAAAGCACAAAAAATCTTAAAGAAGTCGCTAAGATCTAATATTTACGGCAAATACTTGACACTACATAAATGGATAATACTTGACTATAACTATATCGTCCATTAAAAGCAGATATTTTCTCTATGCATGCTTTTCTGGGTGACCTTCACTTCGCTGTTTTACGTTTTGTGTAGAAGAGTAGAGAGAAACTATACAAACCTAAATTTAAACTTCAAATCATTCTTGTTTTCTTTAAAAATATACATAAGTCTCACAATGAGTATCGTCGAAGGTGACTCCAGAGTAGAGAGCTGCGGGTCTGAAAATTTAGCTTTTCTCGGGTGTGGGTCCAAAAAAACATGGACCCGCAGCTCTCTACTCCAGAGGAAAATGTATCACACAGGATGACAACTATTATGTTCGATGAAATATTTCCAATATTAGCTGTAAATCACTTGCTCAAATTTAGCCAATATCTCAATAGTACCGACATCGAAATACGGAATGAGAGACAGTATTGAATGATTAAGATTCCAACAGTGTTTCCTATCCCCATAAACTTTGAATTTATACTTACGTAAAAACAGCAATCAGTAAATTAAGTAACAGAATATTAATAAATAATATATGAAATGCTAATAACACATGAGTAACTGTTGCTTCTGCAATAACTCCTGTTGTACTATTAGTATCATTGCTAATTAGTTCTAAATATTAAAATAAAATAGATAATCCTGATATGAAAAACAGAAAAAGTACCATCAAGTAATTCCTTATCTGAGAATTCTCCATGAATAAACCAATATGGCGCATAGAAAATTTGACTAAAAATTCCACGACCTGTAAATTCTACTTGTTTATAAAGAATCAATGCGCGTGATACAACTCCATAAGCAGCTATTGCAATAAAAATCATATAGAAAAAAGCAAATAAATCCCGAAGCTAAAATTAAAATTCATTTTTTGAAAATCTGTTATTAAAAAATTAGTTAACTAACCATATTTTTTAACATAAATAATTTTGGACCTACAAATTCAAAAGCTATAACAAATTTAAGTGAACGAAGATACCATAATTCAAGATCAAGTGCCCAAATGATTCTAAAAGACATTGAATCTATTATCAGTCTTTCAGGATTTTTCAACAAACCTTGCAGTAGTAAGTAACTCTTGATTGTAACTAGCGTATCGAAAACCAAGACCCAAATAAAAAAGAAGATAAGGTAGAATATAAAATACATTCGACAGCACTGCTAAAGTGGAAGATTCAGTTAAACCCCGTCTTTCGATCGTGCGTGTCGTGTATTCATGATAGCGCTTCATGCAATGAAACAAAAGTTCTTTTTTTTTGAAGGGAAATGCTGATCATACTTCTCGAATTTCTTCACAAAGCATAGTTGAAACAGTTATAATGACATAGATTTCAGTCCAATGTGGAACATCAAATGTATTACGACCATCAAGATGGTAAAGCATCATATAACTGAATACAAGTAAAAACCATAAATAACTAATCTATTTAAACAGAAACTTTTCTTTATTTGCTGTGTAAAAGTTTAATACATCAACTTACAAAATGATAGGTCATTTTTACCATCGGACTTTCATGAAAATAACGAAAACGTCTCCAG